TACGCCAAAGCTACGCCTCCCGCCAGCCCTGCAACTCGTACGAATACCAACTCGCTATCTTTTTGTTTCTTAGAAGGCTGGTAGTAATTCTTGAACTGAGGCTTTCTCATTCTAAGGGGCACCGACCCCGTCGATGCCGCGGGGTGTGCTTGCGCATAAAGCTTAAAGGCGTAGTCTGTGTTTTCAAAGTTCTTGTCTGCCTGCATCTTGTCTTGGTAGTTCTTGTCCAACCAATCCCTATAAGCTTGTCTTCTTTCATTCCAAGCTGCCACGTCCCTTTGATACTTTTCCAGCGCTAAGTCGTGTCTCTTCCTTTCGGCTTCGAGACTACTTCCGCCAGTTGCCGCTTTTTCTATGTACTTACCTGCGTAACTGCCGCCAGTGAATGCTAAAGCAGCAATTAGTGAACCTCCTATCATAGGAGCCATTTATATCTTGGAAGGGATGTACTTTTCCTTCTGCAGATAGTCCTTTAGCATGATAGCCCCGCCCAAGGCAGCGGTCATCTTAGCAAAGTTGGCGAAGCTCTTGCTTGGGTCTTCAGTAAAGTCTTCTTTGAGCACCTTCTTACCTACCCAACCAATACCCGCAACGATGGAAGTAATGATAGCTGCTTCTTCAACAGTTTTCAATAACGCGGTTGACATTATATTACAGAGCGAGAAGGTTATTACTCCATCACGGGTATTTTGCTTCTAGGCTCCTGTGTCACATGCACGGGTTCTACTTTTGGCTTCGTAGCCCGCCATTGTAAGTAGAGGCTGCCTGCTGCTATAGCAACTCCCAACGCGCCAATGACGTACCCAGGATTAATAAAGGATTCGCCTTCGTCCTCCACCTTTTCTTCTTTTTTGGATTTGTTCTTCCTGTTCATCTCAGCGAGCTTCTTTCCGGCAGCAACTCTGCCTGGAGATTTAGCCTTGGTAATCTTCTGCTCCTCTTGGGGCTGCTCTGCCTTCGACTCTGGTTCACTCATTTATACTAAGGACTTGAAGGACTTGGCAAGTAACTTAAGGACGACTTGGAAATAACCTGGGCGCGACCTGACCAAGTACTTAGGGATGACTTGACTAGGTACTTGAGAATGACTTGGGTAAGTACTTAAGAAGGACTTGAGGCGACTTGATCAGGTACCTCGGCAAGTGCTGCCGTAAATACCTTTTCAATGTCCCTTTCCTTCTTAAAGTCCTTCCAAGACGTCGTAAGTTCCTTCAAGTTAACGTGCTGAGCTATGTGCAAAGCCGCAGAGGCAACTGCCATTAACTTACCGCACTTCAAAGACAACCACCCACAGGTTATCTTAAGTTCTTGGGCGATGACATAGTTCTCGCTTATGTCCTTTCGCAGCTGCTCCACGTCGTCTATGGGCAGTGCAAGTCCAAGCAATTTAGT